TTTGCTGAATTGGCTTTGTTTACTAAAAGCGTTAAATATCATGGCTTTTGGCTGCATCATTTCACGTCTAGGTATCCATCTTATAGAAATACTCATGGATATAAAGATATTTAGATAAGGATAGTTATCGCAGTATTTTTTGTAAAAGAGTTTTTTTTAACAACCAAAATATCTATAAACAGGAGAAAAAATAATGGTATGTCTTTACTATGAAATACTTTATAGCTAGTAGGAAAGGTAAGGGATGTGAAAGGATATTTTTATTATTTTTATCATTTCCTGTCTTTTATAATTCTGTGGAGGTTTTAAATATTTTTAAATGGATTAACCAAGTGACTTTTTTTAAAAAGGAAGTCCTTTTTAACTAAGAAAACACAGGTGGAGCAACTGAGTGCAACTCTTTATTAACGCCAAATCTCTCCACATGTGGTGCCATTTAGTTTCTCTATTTCTTGAGAACAAGCAGCAGAGGCTTGGTGGGGGAAAAGCTGCCAAGTGAGTCTGGACCCTCCTTGTGTATGAGGTTCCCAGAGAGTCTAAGCTTTCTGCCAGTTTGCGGCTTTTAAGAATTCTTTAAAACTGTAGCTGTTTTCTTCTTAGGGCTACTTTTATAACAGCCATGTACTTCTCCAGACTCCTGCAAAAGGTGGAATAGAGCGTGTGCTCTCGCTCTCTACAGAATGGTTTGGAACATTCATTGCTTGCCTTGGGATCTTAGTACGAGCCACCGAGGTAAGTCACAAAGTGCTCCCTGCCAGTCTCGGGAGTTTAAGGACAACTTTGTGGCCTCCCCAGCTTACCGGTCAGGCAGGCGCTGTTTGAGAGCTTTTGTTTGTAGTGATTTCAATAGCTTATTTTAACCAGCAGAGTGAGGGATTAGACCCACAGACTTGGGAGTCAGGCAAATTCTGGATTATGATTTACTGTGAGTTTGACTTTGGGCATCGTCACCCATAAAATGGGGACAATACTAACAATACAGCATACCTCACAAGCTTCTTGATAGGACCAACAAGAAACATCTGTTAAGGGTCTAACACACTGCTCGGAACACCGCAGGTTCCTAATAAATAATTAGTACTTTCCAGAAATTGGTGGCAAACTACAAAATTCAATAAAACGCACTTCCTGCCCAAGAACTCATAGGATAGTACAAGAAAAAGCATAACCAGATTCACAGCTAAATTCTGCATTTTGTTGTAAGTGCTATCTATGATGGAAGTATTCGTGCCAGAGAAGCACTTAGCTCAGCTGGGAGGAAGTAGGTCTGAGCTAAGTCCTGTAGGGTGAGTTAGGCCAGGGACTAGGGTGAGGAGAGAGGATAGGCAGGTGGTAAAACGGGGGGTGGGGGGGGGACTTTTGCGAGCAGGGGGAGCAGCATGAGCAGTGGACCCACATGGTGACTGTGTGCGTGGGCAATGGAAATGTACTGTTTTCTCGGAAGGCAGAACAGGGAGTGGCTACCAAGAGAGAAAGCTGGACAAGCCAGCAGGGGCTGTGAACTCTGGAGTCTCAGACTTTGAAGGGTTTAA